TCCGACTCCGACTCCGACTCCAGGTACCCAAAATTGTCTCCGACTCCGACTCCGACTCCAGGTACCCAAAATTGTCTCCGACTCCGACTCCTCGACTCCGACTCCACAGCCCTGGTCGCCTCACACCTTTGGAACCTGCGTTTGAATCTCCGCCAGGATTCCATGTGTGTGGAGTTTACATGTTCTCCCTGTGTTTTTGTGGGGTTTCCTCTGGGTGCTCCAGTTTCCCCCCACAGTCCGAAAAAAATGCTGAGGCTAACTGGAGTTACCAAATTGCTTGTAGGCGTGCGTCTGTGAGTGAATGGTGTGTGTGTGTGCGCACTGCGATGGGTTGGCACCCCATCCTGGGTTGTTCCCTGCCTTGCGCCCATAGCCTACGGCAGGGGTGGCCAGTCTTATCCGCAAAGGGCCACTGTGTGTGCCGGTTTTTGCTGCAGCTCCCTAATTATATTACTAATTAGAGGACTGATTGGCTGAGGAGTCCACACATCTGGGTTTGAACAGCTGACCTAAAGGTTACCCCAAAAACCTGCATACACATCGGCCCTTTGCGGGTAAGATTGGCCACTGCTGGCCTACGGGATAGGCTCCAGATTCCTCATGGCCCTTAACAGGGTAAGCGGTTTCAGAAAATGGATGGGTGGACTGATTGGTTGACTTCAATCAAATGCTTGGAAGAGGAAATGGGGTCCTTGACAGAAACCTGGTGAAGAACTAAATGTTGGAGCCGAATTTAAGTTTACTGTTGATGATATATTTATATAATGTGTGAAAATATAAATCTGTTAATACTCTTTATAGGAGTGTTAGCCACGTTGGACTTGGGTATTTCATGGGAATGTCATTGTGTGTGGGCTAAGTTGGTCTCGCCCTCATGCTTTGGACATCAAAGCTTTCGGCCAGCAGCAGCCACAAATAAAGCTGATGTTTTGGTCGATGTTCTAGAGAAGGAGCTTTTCCATACTAAGGCTGTAATGGCTGCTTGCCCCTGCTTCTTCACTTTGGTTGTGTTATCTCAGCCAAGTGTTTCCTCTCCAAAGCGTGGGTTAGCATTCCAGTGAGCAAACAGAACACCTTGCCGTTCCTGTTGGGGCGTATCTCCACATGGCTGTGATGTCGGTGTAGTTTGTGAAATTACACCTTCTGCCTCTTTTTTTTTTTTATGATTCTGGTTTGTCAAGGTGCTATCTGTCTGTTTTTAGTATCTGATCTTTTAAAGATTGATTGCAAATCTGGATCTTGCTCATGCGTAAAATTCCATTTGCCAGTGTCACTTGGATTTGACAACCATGCTAAAAAATGATTTGGTCTTATTTAGGCTGATTCTTTTTTTCCAAAAAAAGGACATTTTCATTTAGTTATACAGGCTTTGTCCTGTTGCTACACAACAGGCAAATCGGTTCCTTATTCTAGAGCCTCATCAACTAGAATTAAGTGATCAGTGGTCATTGTTGACATGCCACAGCACACAACAACGAAATGTGTCCTCTGTATTTAACCCATATGTTAGGGGCAGCTAATTCAGCGCCCGGCTGAATGAACTGAATAATACAGTGCTTGGGGGCAGTACCTTGCTCAGGGTACCTCAGTGGTGCCTTGCTGGTCAGGGATTCAAACCAGCAATCTTTCAGTTATAAGTGCGCTTCCCTAACCATTAAGCCACCATTGCCCAACTAATCGATAGCATTGATAATAATCAATTAAAAAAAAAAACAATTGACAAAGAATTTTGTGGTTTTTTTTAAATTGCATTTGCTGCATAAATTTTGTATAATGACATCACCATCTGTTATGTTGGTGTATTAAGCCTAGTTCATACAAAATTTTTCGGCATGCCAAAAGCTGTTAAGTTTTGGAAGTTCATATGGTCACAGATATGAAAGTTTAAGTGTTTAGGGTGTGATGGATTGTAAACTCCATTTTTTTCTATAGATGGTCAGTTTGTAAACTCTTAAAGGATCAGACTGTCCAAGAAAGCAGAAGGACAATAGGAGAATCAAGAATTGCTTCCCATGGTTAAAATTGTATGGACAACAATAGGACAGGGCAATGTCCAAAAACATATGCCATTTTTAATGTAAAATAATCGGAATAAATGATGATGTCACACAAACACACACACGCATGCACCAAATGGACATTTTTTTAGCCAAAAGAAAAATGTGAAACATGGATAATCTGCAAGGTGGCGTTCAAGTTTGCCGAGCGGGGGAGAGGCTTGCAAAGCAGGTCTGATCATCAGTTTTTATTCTCTGTGGAAAACAGTCGATCAGTGGGCTACATATAAATATAATTTAAAAACATGTTACTTACGGTAAGCCCTAGCTGAAAACCACCATTATGACCTATGTATACATGCACGGATACCTTCACGTACTGCCTTCCTTTGTGTGTGGAATAAGCCGCCCTCCCTGACGGAGGAGGCAGTCGCTGGTTAGTGACCGGCAGATATTGATACCAGGTTACTTGTATATCTTTGATTACAGATAATATCATCATATTGCCCAGCCCTAGTCAGATATGGGGGGGGAAGGTGCTTCTAAATGCATTTTGTGTATTTCTTTGAGAGAGCAACATGCTGAACATGTTCAGATGTTAAATATGGTGAGATCACAACACTGATCACTATTCTTGAGGAAACGTTGCAGCCGATTTGACGCTGGTGTGAGAAACCTGTTAATCTTGTACTGGCCAGTTACTGGTCTTTCGGGAAGTGCCACGCGCTGGTTCTTCAGGACATCTGAATACGATGTCAGATACACGTTTTGTGTGTCATTCCTCCGAAAGTGCTGGGCGCTCGGTGTCTCAGCTCACACCATGAGAAGTGGTCATGCCAAGAATGGTTTCTTTGAGACCAAGGAAAGGCGTAGCAGCTCTCTGTGTACACGGTGAAGAGGTAAGATTGGGGCGAGCTGTGTTAGCTTTGCTGATTGTCTTCAGTGTCTTTTGGCAGTTGTAAAGCTCTTATTCAGCACAGGCATGCAGGACAGGAAGAAAGCCCAACCAGTCGAGCCCCGCAGCCTTCAGTTTCATTTAAAGTGAAGTGAAACCCTTCTTGAGAAGTGGTCAGAAAGTGGGTAGAGAAATCAGTTTGTGGCATCAACTTTTTGGGATCTCTGCTGTTAATCCAAAATGCTTTGTTGAACTCCAGCTTCCAATTCAGAAAAGAAGCCTTTACAGACACAGAGTTGGGTTGTGACGTGACGAAGAGTCTCTTCTCTTTGCTGATTAAGTATTCAGGCATGATAAAATATGGTATCTTTCTGTATGAGGATGCCACTTGCGGCGAGCTGAATTGCAGGCACCCTGGTTGTAATGCAGTCTCAGACCTGTGTGCAGAATTCCAGTACAGAACAAAATTAAAATTAGATTGGGGGAAAAATGTTGTTTCTCAAGCACAAGTTGTAATAAGTCTTTAAAATTGTTTTTGGCACTTATGTTTAGAAAAAAGAAAATTTAATAATGCTCTTAATGGAAGAATGTTCCTGTTAGCGCTGCTGTGATATTGCTGTAGGTAATAATGGAGTGCCTTTTATATATATATCTTTTGTATTACTATTTATTATTTTAATTGGCCCAGCAGTGATGTCTCCGCGGGAGTCATTGGGCTGGAGCTTTGGCCGTACAGTTGATTGGTGACCTCGCCATTTCTCACAACAGGAGATCAAGCCTCACTACAGCCATGGATACAGCGAGAGTGCAGGCCGTAAGAACCAGGCGGAGGACTACAGCACCTGGGACATCATCAAAGCCACACAGTGAGCGTCTCAATGCGTCTTTCGGGTCTCCCTTAAGGTGGCACTATACATCGAACATATCGGCAAGATGTCTGTACCTGAAAACGCCAGCGCCACCTTATGCTTTCTTGTCACGCCACAACCCTGGAAGGCTCTGAACTTTTAAGGTGCAGCAGATTCACACACAGGGAGCAGATAATCGAATTGCTGCGAGTGTGTGAAATATTTCAATGAAGATGATGATGGCTCTTTTAAAACGGAGCTCTTTCTATCATCGACCGCTGTTGGTTTAATACTAGCAGTAGCACAGACGCAACAAGTTAAACGACACCCATGGTTACACACTAATTAACCACACACATCCCACAGCAACATTACACGGTTGCAGCATTTTCTTTTTACAACATAAATAAATTAATATACATATTAAAGATATGCGCAGCGTGGTGCAAAGCGTGCCGGTAACTGCATAGTAAGTCCTGCTGAACCAAATCCATGATGTCACACTATGTCAGCCAATCGTGGAAAGCGGGTGAATTCAGAACAGACAAAATGGAACACTTTGGAGATCCTGCACAGACGGTGCACCCAAACTAATCACTGCTCATACAGTGTCCTGTTGCTAAAGTTATGTCAGTTTTGTTAATTTTATGTGAAGTATACAGCCACCTTTAGGCTGTTTTAATGTTTTCTGCCTTTACTGAAATCCTTTTCTCTGCATCTGTTTCATTTGGTCTGTTTTTACACATTGAACTCTGGGATTGATTACTCTAGTCTCCCTTTTAGAGACATACACTACAAAACTCTGTTCTCAGAAATATGGGTTTAATTTCCAAAAACTAAAAATTAAATCACCAATCCAAAAGTCAGATTGTTTTCCTTTGGTCTTCCTAATAAATGTTTGTTTTAAGCAGTTCTGTACTTCCTATGCATGGATCCTTGTGGACTGCTTTGACCCGGCCCGCCTCATCCCGCAGGTATGGGATCTTCGAGCGTTGTCGAGAGCTGGTGGAGGCCGGTTATGATGTCCGACAGCCTGACAAGGAGAACGTCACCCTGCTGCACTGGGCCGCCATCAACAATCGGCTCGACCTGGTCAAGTGAGTCTCCTGGCGAATGCGTACACACTGACATACACGCTAGCCAGTAAGAACTGGCTTGGCTTGGTCCTGTGAGTCCCTTGGCAAATACACATGTAGCATGTTGATTGCCACTCTCTGATGTATCATGCCCAGTCCATTCAGCAGTACATCTATGATCTTGTGATCATAATGTTGGCTTGTGCCTAGTGTGAATTCTCCTGTACAACGTGGCACAGTGTCGAAATACTTTCCCCATCTCTGCCGTGAGCAATGACAAAAAGCCTCTCATCTGACATTTATCTGCAACTTGATATTTCGGGAGTCTGGCCTGTTTATACGCTGAGCTCTGTTGGAGAGCTTTAGGACTAGAAGTAACTCTGAGTTCTTCTAACTGCTAGTCATACTTGTGCTTTATAAACACCGTGGTCCTTTGTGTCAGCTACCTCACTTCCTAGATTCCCCACCTACAAGGAGATGATGGTGCTGTAATGGGGTTTTACTGCTCAAACAGCTTTGATGAGATGTTTTGATGAGACATTTATATAATTTTGATCAGGTGGTGCAAATACTGAAAAAATGTTATGATGTACAGCTCCTTTATGGGTATTTATGTTGTATTTCGTTCATATATTATCACAATCAGATCTTATATTTTTCTGTGCCTTATAAAGTATACTTTTTTATCTAAAACTACATTGAGCTACAAAGTTTTAAGCTAAAGAAAAATTGCATTTTTACAAGCGTGTCAAGATAAATATTGGTCAGAGTTTAATCAGCGGTAATCACGCCTAGTTAAGCGTTAGCAGCGAAGGAGAATCAGCAAATTGGTGGAGCGGATGAACTCTCACTGCTCAGTGCTTAATTACACGTGTCAGTGTGCAGTTCCTGACTGGTTGTCAAAACAGACCGGCTTCTTATTTAAGCATTGAATGAAGAGTCGGATTACAATCTGGGCGCATACACATCACCTGCTTTGCATGTTGGTACAGGTATTACATCTCAAAGGGTGCCATTGTGGACCAGCTGGGAGGAGATCTGAATTCAACACCGCTGCACTGGGCCACTAGGTAACGCTCCTGGGTCGCTCAGTACTTATATATAGTGTCAGGGGCTGCTTTATTATGTATCCCTAGGTAGTACCAGGTAGGACCCCCTTCTGTCTCCAGAGCTGCTCATGAAGCGTTGACAAGTTGAGAATTTGGAGCTGCCTTTCTGCACACTAGCGACGTGTTGAGTTTGTGTTATTGCACTTGTCTTACTGTTAAACAAATTAGCACACTTTTTCTGGCCTCTCATTAACAATGTTTTTGGCAAACGAACTACCACTCACTGTATGATTTTTGTTTATCACACATTATATGTGAAATCTAAACACTGTACTATATGAAAATCCCAGGAGGGAGGCTGTTTCTGAGATGCTGGAACCACCATGAAATAATCAACTGGTGATTGCGTGTGCATCACATAATCATGGTAGAACAAGGTAGTAACTAAAACCTTCACATGGATCCTGAAGAGATACTGGGACATTGAGGTCTTATGCCTTCTGTCTGACCTCCAATGCAAAAAGAGGGTTTCACTTTATCATGTAAACTTTTATATTTCAAAGATGAAGTAGTAAGAAATTAATCAAAAGACCCAAACAGAATGCAATATTCGCCTAGAGACATCTAGATATTTTACAAGAGCTATTTGTTGTCTTGTTAACAGACCTTGAACCAGTAACCTTCATTTCATTTAATTTGTTCTTTACCAATAGGACACCTGCTGAGGTATTTCAAAATGCGACGTGTTTGAATCCCTTGTGCTTTTATTTTGTCATGTCAGAGAAGCAAATCGTTTTACTGAAGTGTTGTACACTTAGGCAGGGCCACCTGTCTATGGTGATCCAGCTGCTGAAGTTCGGAGCCGACCCGGCGCTCATCGACGGCGAGGGCTGCAGCTGCATCCACCTGGCCGCGCAGTTCGGCCACACCTCCATCGTGGCTTACTTCATCGCCAAGGGGCAGGTAGGCCTCTGCTCCCCACCTCCCCAGACAGCTCCCCTCGCAGGCTGGCTGTCAGCTGAATGTAAGTGTGCGGGTAGTGAGCTGTGACACAGCCACCCCGTACAAGAAGGGAAACGCATTTTCAAAGAATGACTGACTGTATACCAAATGTCAGCTCTAATAGCCGATAGCCTTCCTGCTCAAAAGTTGCTGTGAAAAGTTATAAAATAAATGCTGACTAAAACAGGATGCTTAATCCTTTTAATCTCCCATTCACCTTCTGAAGGTTTTCTGTAGTTACATTGGCTGTTAGTCCCATAACACTAATACCCTGCTATTTATATAATTGTGTAGCGTTTTTGCCTTAGTCGTATTGTCCACAAGGAGGAGCTGCAGTGTTTCTTTTTGGTATCAATATCTAGCTTCTGATGTACCTCGTTGGATTTCCTGCAGTGTTTCTAAACCTTTAAGTCTCTCGCTCAATGTCACTGCTTTCTCGTGACCTAAAAAAATCCACCAGTTTTTAAATAAAGACCCATCTCACCCTCTCATTTCTATCTTTATGCCTCCCTGCTAAAAGGATGTAGACATGATGGACCAGAATGGAATGACTCCATTGATGTGGGCAGCTTATAGGACACACAGGTATGGGAGTGTGTGTGAATCTTTAAAACAACCGACATGGGTGGACAGAGACAGTCTTGGTAAAGGGACTTATGTGCCCCGCCGCCCTTACTGGTCCCTCGGTGATGACATCACAGGTTGTTTATGCATCCCGTGGTCACTTTTGCCCGCAGCGTCGATCCTACCCGGCTGCTACTCACCTTCAACGTGTCCGTCAGCCTCGGTGACAAGTACCACAAAAACACAGCGCTGCACTGGGCTGTGCTCGCAGCCAACACCACAGTCATCAGCCTACTGCTGGAGGCCGGCGCCAATGTGGACGCCCAGAACATCAAGGTGAGTCGGCCTCTCTGGACTGCGGGAGCACCCACAGCGTAGGTGGCTCCAGGCTTTATTCCCAGGCAGTGCAAGGTGAGAGATCCCAACAGACATTCACTACAGTCTACACCAAGCTGAGCTAGTCGTGTTAATGTGTAAAAACAAAAAAGTAGTAAATACTAGAGCTGCCACTAGTGACTGTTTTTTTCATAGATTAATCTATCAACTATTTTATTGATTAGTCGATTAATCTAAACGATTAATTTTCCTCCAGATCAAATCAAATTGCCTGGTTAATTTAAGCTAATTTTAATTTAACAACAACAAACTGTATGTCTTTGCAGGGCTTTAGATAATGGACGCTGGCTTTTGGGCACTATACGGATGTTATTTTCGCCCACATTTTCATAAGCAGATTAGTAGAGCACCTGAAATAGTAATGAGATGCGTATCGTGACGCCCATAAATTGGTAATCTGTGTAAATTCGGAGTATCCTTATGTTTATTAAGATAGCGGAGCATGCCACATACTACTGTTTTGGTAAATCATGGAAGCAATAAGCACGGAAGTCATGGTGAAGAAAGGGACAGATCAGCAGCCACAGCATCTTTTAAAAGAGGAGATATTACAGTTAAACTAGTGAAAAAGGTGTCAGTACTTTTTCAGTTTAAAGTCTGACTCACTGTTTTTGGTAAATATATTCACACATTTTCTTTTATGTAGCATCTGGTTTTGTTTCAGTCTTAGTTTTTGATGCCCACTCTGATCCCAACAAGTCCAGCACCATCACTCAACGTAGAATGAGCCCAGATTTGAACATTTTTACAAACACTTATTAGGTAGCAGGCAGACAACTTCATGCCTTTAATCATGAGTGTATTTAGCAACTTCGAGGAAAAAATATAATAAAAAGTAATGGTAATTTAATAATCATGAATAGACACTTGCATTGGTTTCGCCTGCTCTGGCGGTCCATCATCCAGAATTGCGCCTGTGCATTTCCTCTTCAGGTGTTCATGCGTAGCGCTAGTCCCGCTGTGATATGCCATCAAAACTGCAGTGTAAAACCTCCTCTTTGGTTTCTTTGAACTACTCCCACAATTACGTAGTGATATCAAAGGAAAACAGTTGCTATAATGAATTGAAGTGTTTTATAAATCAAAAAGGTAATTTCAATGAAATAATTTTTAAAAACGATGCATAGATTTCAAATATTGATGTCAACGCATTTTCGATGTCGACATCATCGACTACGTCAACTAATCGCGGCAGCCCTAGTAAATACTCCTATTTTTCATAACAAATTTACATGACTAACACAAACCTTATTTCGAATATAACAATGACTAAATTTTTCAATAAAAAATTAAATTACAATATAATTTAAATTTGATTGAATTTGATTGAAATACTATTTTCATCTGACCAGTAGGGGGTGCAATTGCACTCCCAATAAATTTGCCTGTGGCCCAGAGTCTTTCTTTGGAGTTGCTTGTATGTTACAAAAGGCTCAGATTGACTTCTTGAAGCATGCCTATACATGTCCAGTTTTCTTGCGTTCGCTGTACAAGCCTCTCCGGACACCAAATAAAATCCCATCAGAAGCTACGAGGCAGGCCGTGTAAGGGACACACGAGGGATCTGTGATATGACCGGTTCCACTGCACACTGTTCCTCACTCTGCCTGCGTGTGCTCCCGTGGCTCTCAGCCGGCTTTCCGCCCCGTGGTCGGTTCAGCGACCACAGCGGAACCGCCCACTAAGCACAAGCTGTCCTGACGCAAGTGTGTGTGTGCGTGTGTGCGTGCGTGCGTGCGTGTGTGTGTGCGTGGGCGTGTGTGTGTGCGTGTGTGTGTGCGCGCGTGTGTGTGCGTGCGCGTGTGTGTGCGTGCTTGTGCTCCCAGGGAGAGACGGCTCTGGACCTGGCCAAGCAGCGGAAAAACGCCTGGATGATTAACCACCTGCAGGAGGTGCGGCAGGCCAGGGGCTATGACAGTCCCTCCTACCTGAAGCGGCTGAAGGCGGACAAGGTGCAAACCAGCGGGCGTGGAGAACCCTCGGGTCACTCCTGGCAATTATACAGCCTGTACATGGTTTTTCATGAATGGCCACTAGGTGGCGAACATCAAACTTCTTATAAATATATAGGTTCACGTAGAATGACTCCTCTTTTAGCAGCTAGCTTGGTTAGCAACCATTTTTCAAATATGACGGTAATAAAAAAATGTCCAACCAGTACGCGAATTTACGACCGAATTTCATACGCCTTACAACAACGCACACTGGAGTGAGAGAGAGCTTTGAAGTAGAATGTCGTTAAAAATGTCCACTTCATGAAGGATAGAGGTAGTTGAGTATGGAAGACTGGAGTAAAGTTGTAAGCAGAGTCGCGGTCCTGCCTAGACCACCGCGGTTTTTGCTTAGGGAGAGTTTCATTTAAAGACCCGTCCATCGGAACAGAACTGTCGCTAAACAGGGAGTGGTCGCGTTTGTGATATAAAGATAAAGTGCACTCTAAGGGATTCTGCTCGGGTAGGCGGGGGTGAATGTGTCCCCATCTGTAAGCTCCCCGCAGACAAGGTGCCGCTTCAGCTTGTTCTTTCTTAGCTGTTAAGCTCTGACCCCACTTGGGTCCTGATGCTGCGGTTTCTCTGTCTCCGAGGAGCCGTACGCTTGCCGAAAAAAGTGCATTTCGTGACTGAAGCAGATTTTTCAGGGTTTTTGTTGATGTGGCTTGTGCTTGCACTCATTGTTCTCCTGCCCTGAGGAACTTATCTATAAACTGGTTTTGCTCCAAAGTGCTGGTAGTCTTTCTCTGGCTGGCTTTCACCCCCATATTAGATAAATAGTTCTTAATCTTGAGAATGATCTGTTGCTCCTCTCAGGAAAGTGCCTGTTAGGCTCAAAATGGCCCCCTACTCTGATTTTAGAGGAGCGAAACTGAATAGCTACTAATTAAATGTATTACTGCAGACGTCAACCTGTTTCACTTTCTCCATGACCTCCGCAGAATTTCAGGCAGAAGGTGATGCTAGGGACCCCCTTTTTGGTCATCTGGCTGATGGGCTTCATCGCTGATCTGGACATAACTACCTGGCCCATCAAGACCTTGATGTATATAGTCGTGTGGATCATAGTCCAGCTGCTTTCCCGGTATGTCATGGACGCCGTCCTCTGCTCCTCTCTGTTTTCAGATTCCTTAACACATCATCTTCAGCCCAATAACAGCAGATACTGCTTTCTCCTGCAATCGCAGGTCCTTCTTCGACCACTCCATGCACAGCGCCCTTCCCCTGGGCATCTATTTGGCCACCAAGTTCTGGATGTACATGACCTGGTTCTTCTGGTTCTGGAACAATATCCTTTTCTTTGGAGGGCTTATGTTCTCCTATGCGTTCCTCTGACAGACGTCATCTGGCCAGAGCTGCGCTCTCTCAGCGTCTGTAGTCGCCCCTTCCATGGAGCTGGGCAGCTATGGCTTCTCGGGCACAATATGCAGGAGGCGTAGTGGAACGTCCTCATCACGGGATAATCAGATGTGACATGTCAGTAGCGGGTCAGTAGATCATGATGGTGGCGTTCATCACTGATCATTGGCTGTGATGAGAAACCAAGCTCAAAGAAATCATTCCGTACATCATCTCATTGACAGTTATACTATAGACAGCAGGGTATGGCTTGTGGTATAATCAGTAAATAGGGTAGCACAAAACGCTATCTTCACTCTCAAACTCCTTTTTTCTTCTATATACCTTTTAAAAGATTGTTACAGAAGATGGGCTTTCAGCCAAAGAGTGTAAGCAGAATTAGTTGTTCTAAAAGCTTTTCTGCAGATTTCTGCAGGTACCTTCACAGCTTTGTTCACAGGTATCCTCCTGTGTGCAGCAGACGCTCCCACGATGAGCTCGGCCCATTTGCGCACTATTCCCGCCTGGTCCTCAACCACCACGCAAGGGGAGGTCTGTTAGAATAGCCCCCACCAGCAGGGTTTCCACCTACTTTCCATCCCCTCTGAAATATATTTTTTGCCCACCGGCACAGCCGTCTGTTAATATGTGGATTCAGTTTCGATTCCACTGCGGCTAGTCGCACAAACCAGGGTCGTGTCTGAAATGCTAAACCTCGCAGCAAAAGCAGTCTACGCCACTACCACTGCGCCGGGATCCGCTGGGATCCGCTGGAGCTCATCATCAGGCTGGCAAAATCTGTTGCCGAAACCTCGTAAACGGCACCCAGAGGGTGTCGGAATACCTCTGGTCTGTTCCCATGTAACAGGATTCTTTGGAGAAGCCAGAATGAGGTGGCCTCCCGTCCTCTCCCCTATGGGGACTCTGATCTGAGAAGTTTTACAGTGGCTGACATTTCTCCAAAGTAACGTTAATCGGAGATGGAGTTTCTTCTGGCAGGGAAGGTTGTGGGTCTAGACTGCCTACTTAGCTTTTGATTTTTCTAGTTACTAGTTGCATCATATTCATTTTCAGGTGGCAGGTTCTCGTCGTTGACTTGCCCCTTGCTATGCCCCATGAGCCGTGGTCCTTCCCACATTTCCTGCTGTGACGGACTGGCACGGAACTCGCCCATATTCTCATCGCACATTAGTTGAGCTCTTTGATTTCTCCTCCAGACAAGTCATTGTGCAGCCATTGACGTTTCAGTGAAAGCGCTCTCCTGCCGTAATGTGAACACCCTTCAGCAGGTCACCTTCGTCTCACCTGTCTCTGCCTAGTAATGTACTTCTTCTCTGGACACTCGAGCTGATAATGGCTTTTGCCGCCGCATTTGTAGATATCATCGTTGTAATATCTAAAAATACCACCAACGATCGACTTTTGTCTAGAGAGTATTTCCTGGTGCTCATCTGCTGATTCTGATGTTTTCCCGACTTTTAGAAATGAGATCTTGGTCCACACGCCATCTGTCAATTTGACAGGAAGCCGCATGGAGGTCAGTTTTAATATGACAGAGACTGAAGAACGTGAGCAGAATTTCACACCAATACTAAGAGTATGGGCAGGTTAGAAATAGCAGAACCTAACTGCATGTCTTTGGGGTGGCGGAGGAAAAGGTGGCAGTGGGAATCGAACCCTTAACAGTGGCCCCTAGGTGGAATTAAGTGATATAATTGAATGTTTTGATTGGTATGTTTATTTTTTTGCTTTTGTATTTTAGCTATTCTTCAGCTGCTGTTGTTACTATGATTTTTCTGAATGTTATGATCAGCCACAGGAAATCCCTTCAACATGCTCTGCATCTCGAGCTACTTCCAAAACCCAGCTAGATCCCAAAATTACGATATAAAAAGTGATCGGCCACAAGGGGGCAGTCTTACCACAAGCAGTCTATTTCTCACCCTCACAAGCCACACTTTACCTTTCTCTACCTTTTAGCTGTGTTCAGGATCACAAAATTACAATGTGATGAAAATCACATTTTAGTGTGACGCATTTTGAGTTGTTGGGTGTGAACTCCCAATTAAACTGTTTTCCAGCTAGAAAGAGTGATGAAAGCCATCTCTCTGTAGCAAGATGAATTACTTTTCTTTTTTTTTTCTTTCTATGTTTGCCATTTGTCTTGGACTTGCATAGTGCATGGATTCGGTCCAAAGTGAGGCACATTTCCATCATGACATCTGTGGACCTGTGCTCCTTCAGCAGCTTCTCGTTAGTGTCGTAAATGCTTTTGGGTCTCTTAGAAGGCCCGCAGGTGTTTGGTGGGTACATAATGTCATCTGCAGGCAGAATGCAGGTCTCCCCTGTCAGGGAAAAGAGGTCACATCCCACCCGTTGACTTGACAGTGAAGAGTAAAGCTGCATTTAATTTTTCATTCTCTGTTCAGAGAAAGAATGGCTTGCTGACACCTGCTTCAGTGGTCCCACAGAGCAGAGGTATGCAGGCGATTAACGGCTCTCTGTCTTTGCGGGTCACTTCCTTAATCCACCCCACATCTTCCCTTCGTTACCGTCCACCTGCCCTTCCTGCTGAACAGCCTCGCGCTCTTCTACAACTTCGGAAAGTCCTGGAAGTCGGACCCAGGGATCATCAAGGCCTCTGAGGAGCAGAAGAAGAAGGTAATGTGCTGCTGGAAGTTTTCAACACGAAGAAAGAAACGCACACAAGAAGCCAGGCTTTTGAGGGAGTTTGGCCGTCGCTCCTCTGCCGCCCTGATTTTTCAGCTGTGACCGCGGTTGTTTTGATGAGAAGAGAATTTTAGGCCCAAGTCCAGGGGCATTAAGCATCAGGCGGTCAGAGCTTGCTTGTTACTGCACACTGATCTATTCAGATTGTTCCTGATATCCAGGTCCCCGATTGTTAGTATTAATGAGCATGCTATATATTTATATATAGTCCTGTTTCCCCCCACTTTTTCAGAATGTAGAATGATTTTTAGTGAAGTGGAAAGGACTCTTCCATGAGAAATATGGTTATACAATTGTGGTCTAACTATGTCTTTCCAACTCTCTAGACAATTGTTGAACTGGCAGAGACTGGAAATCTGGATCTTAGTATTTTCTGTAGTACCTGCTTGGTAAGACACTCATTTTCTATTGTTAAAATAAAAAGTTCCTTGTTTTTGCTGACTTTAATAGTATTGTTGAAAATATTGACTATCCATTGTGTAGTAAATGGATTTAAGCTGCATTTTGTGATTTAACCTTATTGTTGTTGTCTTACAGAATCGCAGCCAATGTTACATATAAAATTTGGCTTTGAATGTCTTGGGGCATTAGTTTCAATGGTACACTGTGATTTTTAATATTTGTTTATTGCCTCTCCGCACACACACAGATACGGAAGCCCGTGAGGTCCAAACACTGTGCCGTGTGCAACCGCTGCATCGCCAGATTTGATCACCACTGTCCCTGGGTGGGCAACTGTGTGGGTAAGTGGGTAAACTTAACTCACCTGCTCTCACCACCAGTGCATGGTGGCAGGAGGTCAGGAGCAGAACCAGTTACCGGAGTGAGGAATTTAAGTAAATCAGAAGTAAATCTGCAAGGATTTCTTATTGCCAAAGTGCTTCTGAAGTTGCGGGGGAAATTTCGCCATGACTTGTTTGTCAGGAATACAGCCCCAGCTCCTTGAGTTTCATAAAGTAAGATGGCCATCTACCATTTATGTCTGTTGCCTGGTGTTGGCAGACATCAGTATGAAACAGGAATGGTGAGGTAGCCATGCTGTACTGGGGGAGAAAAAAAATCAGTTTTCGTCTCCTTGGAGTCCATTGTCCGGCTCTATTGCTCAATTTGTCTTAATGGGACTATGGACTCCTACTAGAATATTGTTTTGTATGATGCCCTCCATTTTAAAGCAGTTCTGAGTTGTAACTATGATCTGAAATTGTTTATTGGGGTCTAAAAGCCCTTGGTGGATCCCCCCCCCCCCAGTTGATACTCCAGCAAACGGCACACCTCCCTTCAAGCTGTCCACAGATTGCATTGATTCTGCTGTCGCTCCTGTAGAATGGCGACACTAATCACGCCTGCTGTGTCCCGTGTCACGCAGGGAGCGGGAATCACCGCTACTTCATGGGATACTTGTTCTTTCTGCTCTCCATGATCTGCTGGATGATCTACGGCTGCATCTGCTGTATGTGAAGTTTATGTCGATCTGAATTGCTGAGCATCCGCTACCAGCGAGTGCTGAAAGATAAGAATAACCAATCAAGATTCTTTTGCAAACGTGGTTCCTAATTGAGCAGTAGCAGTAATATTCGTGTGTGGCCCCTCACAGACTGGAGGACGCACTGCACCACCAGCTACGCCAAGGATGGCTTCTGGACCTACATCACACAGATCGCCACCTGCTCGCCCTGGGTCTTCTGGATGTTCCTCAACAGCATCTTCCACTTCATGTGGGTGGCCGTGCTCATCATGTGCCAGACTTACCAGGTAAGCTGCTATTTTTAGACCGGCGAAGATTCCTGGCTGATCTTTTCTGAATCTTCCTCATATGCATTACGGTTTATGACATTGGCACTGGCATTTATTAACCTGGACGGAGTGTTGCTGAGGAGTCCAGCAATTGACCATGTGACCGCTCTCTCTCCTGCACTCAGATTGCATGCCTTGGCATTACCACCAACGAGAGGATGAACGCCAGAAGATACAAGCACTTTAAAATTACAACGACGTCCATCGAGAGCCCTTTTAAGTGAGTGAAACACAATCCTGACTCTGCTGTGTCTGCTCCCAGATGTTTACCATTAATCACCAGTGAACTGATAGGGAAATATTTTATAGTATTATGTTCTGTGCCTTATCACTAGGCCTTTTGTCATTTCAGTGTTCAGTCTTGCTCACATTGCCACACATGGTTCTGATTCCGGTTCCTAAAATCTCTTTCTCTCAGCCATGGTTGTGCACGGAACCTCATAGACTTCTTTGAGTACCGTTGCTGCGGCCTCTTCCGGCCCGTGATCGTGGACTGGACCACGCAGTACACTATAGAGTACGACCAGACGTCCGGCTCTGGCTACCAGCTGGTGTAGCCCGGCTGGGACCTGGGCATCCTGTCGGGTCATGGCTGCATCCCGGGGACAGTCGTCCTGAGTCTGGGATTCACAGAGACTGCATGCTGTTAGAGGGACACGCCCACACCGGGCCCATCAGGACACGACGGCTCCTTCCCCACTAGCCGAGCCCCTGTCACCCCGACGCGGATGGAGAATGTCCGACAGAGGGGAGAGGAGATGCTAACTGGGGAGTCATGGCGGGAATGGGGGGAGGGGGGTTTTGTTCTTTAAGTGTGGGCCTTATGTTGCATCGTGTGCAACAGGGTTCCATCACAGTCTCTGCTTCGTTTTACCGTTCATTTTTTCCTCCTCCGTTTTTAAAAGCATATTTATGTTTTGAAGCTTTACCGTTCCATATAAAAATTAAAAAAAATGTACTAATGTCTTAAAAAGACTGATCTCAGAAATGGCTTTGTGGGTATTTCTGGGACTGCTCTGTCTCAAGCCATGTCTTTGCAATCACCTGAAGACTGGGCAGCTTCTCCTGTCATGACAATGTGAGTCGATACAGTGTTCGGAAATGGAGTTTTGGAGCCTCATCATAACTCGCTGATGCTGTCGCGTATAAGGAAGTATATTCCCGGAACTGATGTGATGCTGGTATATTTATTTGTAAGGCTATTTATGAATAAGATGTGCTTCAGTCGGGGTGGCACGGTAAACGGTTAGTCATTTTAGGTTTTATCATCCATGCATTTTGATGTAGCCACATCCTTGATGCAGTTTATATTAACGGTGGATGTTAAAGATGCGTAACCTTGCAACATTGGAAAGTATACATGTGTTTTTTTTTATCTGGGACAGTCAAAGATGGCAGTTCATGAGTACGCCTCATTCCAAGTTGTTTTCATAACTGATTTTTTTTTTTTTGTCTTTTTCCAAGACGATGCACTGATTTTTGCCTAATTTTCATTGATGGAAACTCTGTTTTAATATTAATGTCTTTTTATTATTATTATTTCTGGCTTCCAAGAAACACTCCCATTACGGAGATGAGCCCCTGGGGTTCTGCCCAGTTCTCTCATGCCATACGAGCAGCACCGGCATAGCAGGAGCGTGAAGGTCCCGTTGTATATATGAGACTTAGGTCCCCTTACTGTGATTTTTAATGTTTTGTTTTTTGAATGTTAATGGAAGCTGCTTGTTTTGTTTTATTGAACCAAACCCGGGAAAACGAATGCTGTAAGCTTCCAGTGCTCTGGGATCCCGCCATCTGCATTGAAAGCCGCGGGTGGTCTACGTTTGCGAGGCCGGGGGTGCAAACCGCCCTGGTTGCAGGTGGGGGCCCATACTCTTATCCTCCCTAGAGGGAGCCACATGTCTGTACATAGTGAATGTTTACGGTGTATGTTTTTATTTTATTATTCTTTTTTTTTTTAACCACTGTGTCAGAGGGCAGCAGGTGTCAGGCAGTGATTGCAGGCATGTGATACTGTATATGAATGACATATTTGGGGCGCGAGGGGAGTGAAAACTAAAAGTAAACTGCTTTTATTGTTCTGTGCTCCTCTCTATAGACCTGTTCCTGGAGGTAGCGATAGGAAGGAGCGATTTTAAGAAAATGCTTGGTTTAGAACACAGACCTTATCCTGTTCCGTGGCTGCTTCAGCCATCCTTGTGCACTGATTCAAGGGACTTTACTGAAATATGAGGGCAGGAATGGGGGGTGGGGGGCTGAACATGATGTCATTTGGCCCGTTTCCTGTGGCCTTGATAGGGCCGGCTAGCGACAGGGCTGTCAGGGAATCGGGTTTAAGTGTAGATTCATTAAAAAAAAAAAAAAAAAGTGTGTGTGTTCTGGTGTTTGTCAAACCCCTGCTGTAAAGCACATTGCAGTATCTTTCCTTGTGCCCATAACACCTTGGTTTTCATGGTTGGGGCACCAAGATTTTAAGGTTTTCTTTCATGTAACAATATTGTTGTTGTTTACCTCCTCTCTCGATGGAATAACACGTTATGAGATGATTGCATAAAACAGTCAAGTGTTTTGTTGGGTCACATGAATGCTGTTTCTTCAACATCACATGTGCTTGCATTCTGCCTGCCTGCAGCCGTTATCAGTAAGAATCCCCGCAGAAAAGTTAGTGCTGTTTTCGCGCACAGCCACCTGCCATGAAAATGCCATAAAGTAGCCCATTCTATCAAACTTTCATATAAGAGCTCAGCTGTGTGTCCCAGAGTTCTGCAATGGACACCTTCCTCTGCTTCTCCTCTGTGTATCTTATTTTAATAAAAATCAACAGCTGCCAGTTTGGAATTTTTATGAATTATTCATCAAATATCTGTTCTGTGACTGTGAGGTAATTTGATTTTTTTTTTTTTAAATCATGCTTCAATCAGTCTGGATATGAAAAAGTACCCCGTACAAGTAAACCGGCCGTGTACACACAAATTCTGAAGTTAAGACAAAAAGCCAACCTGATTTTTTTTAATACTTCAACGCAAATGGAAAATTTCTTGAAGAAAGGAAGAAATGCAGTAGTTGAATGATAGTGTGATCCGGTGCCCTCGGTGATGGCGGTCGGCTGGCTTCCTCACTTGGCGTGCAGAAGGGCCCCTGCTCCCTGGCCGTAGCCAAAGCCTTTCGGCCCAAAGTTCTTTGCATAACAAGCTGGAGAGTAAGCATACAACGCAAGAGTTTTGGAAATGAGGCTTATTGTAAGAGACCTGGATGCCTTAAGTAACCATGGTGACTGCCCTATTTGCAAATATCATTCCTGAAGACTATGGAGCCCTTCGCAGGCATCTGGGTCAGTGGACCCTCAAATTCCAGACGAGAACCATTCTTGAGAGTTTTTGTGGCACAAATTCAATTCCTCTAATAGAAACCGCACTTCACGTTGATTGTGACCACTCTGAATAGCATCGTTCCCACACGGAAACGACTATGTTAATTCATGGACTCTGTATATACACTGTAATGTGTACACATCAAACAAAAGCTTTGAGGAATGACGCCAGCTGTCCTGAGCTACGTCGTGATCTTCCTCACTGGTTTACCATTTCGGTAAAATGATGCACTTGCTTAGAAATCTAATTACTCCCATAATCCTCTGATCCTCATTCTCAGCTGTCACTTTCATATTAACTACATACAGTATATCTCTAACAATGTATGAATAAGCCACTAACGCTCTAACAATAAACAATAAACCTTGGTATCCAAACCCCACTATACAAACAGTACATGAACCCCAAATACAATCACAGCTGAGTAGACTCAGTACCTTTATTCACTCAAGTCCAACAAGAAATTCATGAAGACTACAACTGGGAAGAGCTGTGTGCATGACGAAGAAGATCTGATGGGGTTCTTTTGTCGGGCTGCTTCCTGTTGCTTTAATGAGGTCACCTGTCAGCTGCCCCTGAATTTCCTCTCCATTATTAAGATCACAGGCTTAAAGAAGCCACGTGGGGGGGGGGGGGGGCTCACCTTTACAGTAAATCTCTCCTTCTTTATCCGTCTGCGTGGTGGATTCCAGGCTCTTGCCACACTTGGCACAGCGGAAGCAGATTCGGTGCCAGTGCTCCACATGGGACAGAAGCATGACAGAGAGATTCCACCGTCAGGATCGCCACACAAAACACTCTCACCCTCCGCAGACGGTTATGTTTTTGTTCATACTGGCTAAGCACAGCCTCCCGGACACAGAGGAATGCGCCAAACCAACCAGTCACTGCAGGAGGGGTAGGATTCTCTAAGTCAGCTGGGACTGGCCCTGGCCTGGACAGACCTCTGTGCAAACTTAAGAACCTGGCAAACCAATCAACTTCTTAGTTTTGCTATTTCGTTCTTCATTTCCCCTTCTCCCTTGACACCAACACCATTAGAAATACACACTCACCTTCATCACCACCGGTGACTCCCTACACATTACGCAATGGTTAGGCGAGGGGGGTGTGGCCAGCTACACCTGCGCTATACATCACACACCTGGAATGGAGGGCTGTACATGATACCCAGACCAGCAGCACCTCTTACTCTTTCAGTCCACATGCTTTGGTTTCTGGGTGTATGTATATACCAGGGCCCATGTCTGGATAACTTTGGGAGTATCATTAAGAATGAAGTCATGAAAAATCATGAAAAAAAATATCGTACAAATAATTTAACGCGAGCAGATAAGAAATGATCAATAAAAGCCAGAATTATATCCATGTTTTTAAAAAACTATGTCTGAGCTTTTCAAGACCAAACAAACAATGACCTTGTCCCCCCCCCCCTCATTTTTCAAATGCATTCCACAGTTCATGTTGTTTAGGACTTGAGTATCATAAGCCCTGTTTATAAAGACCACGAGACTTTGAGCATCACCTTCCTTCAATTTATGCCCATAATCAAACCCAGCTGCTCTGACCCAACCCCCCCCCCCCCCCCACTTTCATGCCACAAGCTCCCGCCTGCATGAACGATAGAAGACGACGGCTCGGTTCTCTCCGTCTCACCTTGCCAGCCCCCACTACCTTCTCTGCAGCATAGACAGGTTCCCCGCATCGGGCGCACTTCTCCAGCCCCCCGAACTTCTGGGCAAACTTGGAAGGGTTGGGGCTGCTCGCGGGCCGATGGCTCGGGCTCCTCGGCGGACAACGGGAAGGCGGAACAGCACAGACGTTAACTCCTGCGGGGCTAGCTGGACTCCGGAGGCGGCCGAGGCTGGGAGTGTGGCCTGATGCTGGGGCAGCCGCCTGCCTGTCCGAGACCTGAATAGGCCGTATTGTGCCGCGCTTGAGGAAGATTAAGGTCAGCAGTGTAGCACAGGACTCCACGTTACATAATGGGGTCTTTCATAGCATTCATCACCTGACACCCGGCTTCAAATCCCAGGAAACAGGCCTGCGGTGATATGACTGTCTGCTCCCAAACAATATGCCACCCTTAACATACACCTGGAATGTATAAAGGGGCGGGGCCACGGGAGCATTGGCCCAAGGCTGAAAGTTGATTGGCCCCCCAGAGTGCCCCTTCCCCTGTCACTCACTGATTCAAAACATCTCATTGGCTAATGACAAATTTGACCCCACTGTATGAATTATGGCCCCTTTTATGCCCCCACCTTAATCAATCTGATGCCTCAAATCAAGACAAGGGGAAACCTGACTCAAACTGTCAGTCCAAAATGGAGAAGCATGTAATCATACATTGACTCACGCTTTAAAAGCTAGAGCTGAGTTACCTGAAACAGACACAGTGAAAGCCCTCCTCCCCAGTGAGATAATGGTCAAACTCACTTTTCTGGTCTGATCCCGAGCCTCTCTCCCCGGTCCGTGTTAAGCGTCCCAGCCCCCTGGCCATAGCCATAACCCTTGGGGCCATACTTCTTCCCGTAGCAGGATTTGCAGTAGATCTCCTTGTGGTGGATGGCTAGCGTGGTGCTGTCTAGGCCTTTCCGGCAGACCACTGCAATCGATCACAGAGCATTTTAAACGATGCACCCAGTAGGCACTCTGCAGAATGACTGTGACACAAGGTACAGAGAATGTAGTAGATTGAGCTTCATGCAAAGTACAAAGTACAGCTCCAAGGCCAAACAGGGTGTACCCCTTCGTGGTTCTCTCTGTGGTCTGGAATACGTTCTAGCCCCTCCCCCATGACCAGAGACTACAGATGAAAACTAGCCTTTTGTCTAACTCTGGCATATTTAAAGTAATGTTGTTAAAATCCACTATCCTTGTCAAATAAACCGATAAACAAAGACTCGTGTATGGGATAGACTCTCCGTTCTAGGATAGGCTTGAGTCCCTAGGCAATGACCATGTATGGTTGTTGGAAGGAAATGGTTGGAATATGGCAAATGCTAAATTACTGTTAGCATCCCAGTCAGATGGAGGCACTGGGCCTGGTTAAACACCAACCCTCCCCAGCCACACTCACTGCAGAGGAAGCAGCATCTGTGGAAGCTCTTGCCGTCGCACTGAACCTCCTCCGCGTGGTATACCATCCCCTGGCAGGCCGTACACTTATTACCCCCACCCCAGTTTGGCATGGTGGAACTGGGGAGGGGGGACAACAATCGATGCATAAATAAATACATACACCACACACTGGAGAAGAAAGTATGATTCCTCCATGTTTCTGCAAAAAGAAAATATATAGTTAATAATAAATAACACCAATAAATGTATTAGGCATCATCATAACCTGTGACAAAGACATGTAATGCTAATTAGGCCATGTATATATACACCCTAACCATAACCCCCCATTTTCACGTATAATTTTACGTGTTCAATGGCCTCTATCAAATGCTGGTCCCCCTGAATCTGCCAAGGTATCCATGCCACTCCGACGCACCTGTGTAATCGTATCTTTTACGCTGTCCTTATACGAACAGCTACACAGATGAACCCTCAAGAACACGTACGGTGGCATTATAACACTTGTAAGTTTAAAAGTTTTTAATTTTCCATTTGCGTGGCCAATCTGCGCCCCTCCGTAATCAGGCGTGACATCGTTAATATCCAGAGACAAGCCGCCCCTCCGTCTGTTAGCGCAGGCTGTGACTCGCTGCAACATGCATATGCATGAAACCGGTGGAAACTGTCAATTGTTAAATTTCAATTAATGCCTTTCTATTTTAAGACCTTTTTCTAAAATTTGGAGAGACGTTTCTTACTTGCCTGCCGTCTCCTAAAATATATATCTAGGCTGTGTCGCACGGGTGGTTGAACAATCTGCTAATTTATGAAAAGTGTGGATTTGACAAGCCGCATTATTGAAATACAGATTCCCATAATACTGAATAAAACTTTTATATGTCTCTCATTTGGAATCAGATACTGCCAGTACATCACTGCTCTTTCCACAGCAAAAAAGCCAAATATTTTACAAGATTAAATCAGCCTTACAAGAAGCAAAAAAAAACACAGGATTTTCAGTTGTTATACTTACGTTTCCCTGTTCTAATTAAACTAAATTATATTATTAAATAATAAGATTTAATCATAAATTAACCCTACGAATTATTGGAGAAAGTCAAACTGTTTTATTTTCTGTATCCCCTTAATTCCGTCCAAGAATAAGAAATGAACCAAAAAAATAAAACAGGTCAGTTTACTTCTCGTTGAAACTCTAATCATGCGGACAGAAGTAATCAAAAGCTAAAGGACAGTATACCTTCGGATTAAACACTATCCGCTAACACTGGGAATTTCAGCAATCATGACAGAAACTTGTCGTGCAACACAGTAATACTACTACTAGCCGACTATATAATAATAATAATAATAATAGAATAATAATCTGCTTCCTCCGGAGGTCATTAGGATGAAATACTCCTTATTTACTCCATACTGCAAGGTACCATAAAACCGTAAATCCTTACGTCGTCAGCAGCGGAGTAACGAGCGTCAAAGACTTTGAGCCGCGATCTTTGCACAACCCGGGACACTGGAGAGGTTTAGGTGGAGGCTATGAGGGAGTGGTTTGTGGGTGAAGCCAATGCATCAATTTTACTGTAGACAGTGAGAAATACACAGGAGTCCGAAACTTCTCACTGAATAAAGTGGCATTCTTCTACAAAACGAGATGCAAAATGAATTGTAATAGCAGCTACTGAATCGTATCCCAGCAGGCATCCAACATTGTCACAACGTTGAATAACGAAATTATGATGCTGCGATTTCAATAACTGCTGTGAGCAAGCAGGGACAGCATTGCCACTATGTTGATCTCGTGTCGAAATATAACAATATAATATATTATTTTTAAAAGTAAAAAAAATCATTCAGGTAGCACCCTGCAAACATTTATTAATATTTTGGAGGTATATTTTTTAAAGCGGTTTGGACTCTCGGTTTGGACTGACCGCCGAACCGCCTTCGCGCATGCGCACTTCTTGCATTCTCCAACGGACTCCCGCTCGAAGCCGTCGAAGAGGTGGATCCTAGGTACAAGCAATCATAAAGGTAAGCCTAGACAATCATAAAGTTGACCACCGTCTAACGTAAAAGTTAATGCTCATTTATGTATTTGTTATTTGTGAGGCCGATCGTTCGCGTTCTCTTAGTTAAAATTAGTGAGTTTGGCGCCGTCGCGTCAGCTCGTTAGCTGCTACTGATGCTATTTCACAAAACGTTTTGTATCAGTAAGGTTGACGTTGTTTTAAAAGTGTTAGTTGGTGCAGAAAACATTTTCAAGTGATATGATTATAACTCATGTTTTGGTATTGCCATAAACCGCTAGTGTGGCATCTCGGTGAAGGAATTAATTTTTTTTACAACGGTGATTTGCTAACCGTTTATAACGACTGTGTCGATTTCGCGTCGAAATACATGCATTTTCACTTGATGTGATAGTTTCTGAACTTGATCCTCTGACAATCTGCGTCCTTTGCATTTATTACCATCAGCATTTTAATATTTTGACCCACCTGAATTGTACTGCAAAAAAGTCCCAGATGGCTAATAAAGCCCTTTCCATAAGAACCAAGAAGCCTGTCTGCTGCTTTGGTGTAAAAACCTCATAATTTCATGTAACTCAGAATGAGGATTTGGTAGAGTCTTACTGAGACGGGAAACCACCTTTATTAGACATTTTGAAAATTCCTGACATTTAATGAATACCAAACACTCACATTCAGTTGTAAACATGTAATGGCTTATTCATAAGTTTTAAGTATAAAAAGTGTTAAGTATAAAAATTTTAAGTATAAAAAGACAGACATTATGGCATAGACATTTAGATACCGTGCTCACTTTCCACTACTGCTTTGGTCTAATACAACATGTTCATTATTGGAGTAATCTCCTTCACTCTGTCCATCGCCTACAGTCTTTTCCACCTCCGAAACCTTACAAAGCAGCTTCATCTTCAGCACATCCAGTTCTTTTAGTTCATTTTGTAGCTCATCTATCTCTTTCAAAATTGCCTCAATCTTTTCTTTCAGCCGCTGCAGCTTTGCCTCTGCATCATCTTCTGCCTCCACTGGTGGTATGTTCAGGTCTTTCTCTTTCTGAACCTTAGGCATTCCTTCATCAATCAACTCAACTACCACATTCTGGGGCTGCTCTCTCGGCCTCTCATCACTTTTTGTTATATCAGGCTTTTTGTCTTTCCCTTTTTTCACAAGGGAAAATTTCTTGCGCCAGAATCTCTTTTGTTTCTTGTTTTCTTTGCTCTCCTGCTTTTTTGAAGCTTCCCCAGTCTCCTCTGATACCACTGGGGGCCTAAAGCAGTTGAGGAAAGACCACTTCATGTTTAGATGCATCTTGTTCAATCTCTGATTTGTTCTGAAGTGGAATAAGTGCTTACAGTACAATTTATACCTTCAAAATGATGACATCACCGTTGTCACGGTGTATTAAGACTTACAGGTGGCCCTGCAATTGGCCACGTCGCTCCCGTAGCATAGAATTAAAGAAATATGTTGAATGTCCCCCTGTCACTATGATGATTTGGGAGGTTGTAATTGTCCGCTTTCACTACTCACGATATGGTGGAGTACCTCCAACTCCACCTAGCAGACATACATATGAGGTGATTGAGGTGTGGATTGATTCTGACCGTGTGGACTAATCATCCTGAAATTCAGATACAACGTCCATATCGTCCATGATTCACTCATAATATTATTGTGTCAAGATTGAACTGTATAACTTGTTTCTCATGAGAAGAGTCAAAATGCTTATCTTGTCCCAAGAAGTTTTGTCCTGAGATACTTATTCTGTTCAAGAACACTTGTCTTATTATTTCTGATTTACGAGATGCTAACCCAGTTCAAGGATGCATACTTTGTTTTTTTGAGGGGTTTTCCTGGGAAGAAAGGGTGGTCAAACATGTGTTTTATATATTATCGATTAGTGTGTGGGCTGCTTATTTTGTTCTCAGAAGATGTTCTCATAAGAAAGCGGAAGTTGATGAAGGATATTTGTCTAATTATTTTGGATTTAAATCATATCTAGTAATCCTTGAATGTGGGATACTGATCTTATCTAGAGAAAAGGGGGAACGTATTGATCATTGGAACTTGTCTTTGTATTTTTGATTTTAACCACAAGCCGCATTACCCGGACAAGATTGGAAATTTGAGAACGCCTTGCCTGAGGGGTGAGCCTGGCCAGCTCATCCCCTGCCCGCACGTAATGCCCAAAAATTTGTATAAAGGAAGGGGGAGATCTTAGTGTTGGTTGGAGCTCAGCCGTGGGACAGAGCAAGCATCGCCCGGCACTTTCTCGGGACTCACGTTTTGATCTCCTACCAGGACTGAAACGGGCTCCCCAGTCTAAGAGTGAAGGTGGGTGATGATGGCACGTCCAAGTGGGAATTGCTTTGCAGTGTCTGTGTACTGAATCAATCATTATTGGGATTAATTATCATTGTATGACAATCACAATAATATTAATTTGTACTTTCTATGTATGCATATTTTTATTGTCACATTATATATATATATATACATATATATATATATATATATATATATATATATATACATATATATATATATATATATATATATATATATATACATATATATATATACATATAT